TGAAGAGCCAGAATGCTCTGACTCCATTTTGGCTAGCTTCTTTAGACAAGCCCAGACAAGCTCAGGCATATTGTACATGTAAAAACCTTATAAGGTATGAACAAAAACTTCTGACTCTAAAAGATATTAGTCAGCACATTCCAATGCCCTGAACACAGCCCCTACCAATCAAGACTTTCCCCGTACACAGGATATGGGGACATCCAATTATTTTAAAAAATGCTTGGTGTGCACAGGTTTCTGTGGAGCGCCCCAATAAAAGTTCCTGCCTGCTATTTTTGGGGCCAGACTCCATCTTTGGCTTGTGAAGTCTGTTCTCGGCTAGCTGACATTTGGTTGTTGTCTTTTTTTTTACTTTAAATTCTTGAATAAACTTTTTGTATAATCTTTTTGGGTATCTGTGGGAATTATTCTCAATTCTCAAACGTTAACATTGTGGGAGCTCATGCGGGATTCTAGAATAGAGACCCCCAGACCCACAGAAGTGCCACTGGAGCCAGCCTTGGTAAGTTCTGCCTGCCTTTGTCTCTCTCTCTCTCTCTCTCACGCTCTCTCTCTCTGCCTTGCTTTTTGGTAGTCCGGACATCCTGGGGCTCAACCGAGATCAGGCGGACGCGCTATTGATCCCAGAGCTTGAGGAGAATGGGGGACGCCCCGACTCCTCTTCTGTTGAGGGGCCGTGCTCCAGTCTGACATGGAATCCAGGCGGGGCCGACCCAGAGTCTTGGCCCAGTCCGACGTGGAATCCGGGCTGGCCAAATCTTTTTGGGAAAGGAACAGGGGCAGCCTTCTCGGCTGACCCTGCGCACGGTGAGATTTTCATTTCTCCCTCTAGGGAACTGCCATCTCATACTATCCTCACCCTCTGCTTGGAGCTTCACCTTGTCTATCAACTTTCCATCCTACTTCTTCTCATTCTCATCCCTCTCCTGATATTCTTTTTTCTTGAAGCTTATCCCACAATGGGCCAGAAAGTCTCATCATCTTCAGCTCCCCTTGATCTAGTTCTTAGTCATTTTCAGAACTATAAACGAGTGGCTTCGAACGTGTCTGGACTCCACGTCAAGCTGACCTGCCTCCAGACCCTCTGCACCATTGAATGGCCCTCCTTTGAAGTTGAATGGCTGCCTGAAGGGTCCTTTAACCTGTCCCTCATCTACAGGGTTCAAGAAGTTATCTTTGGGGAACTGGGGCACCCGGACCAGATCCCATACATCCTAGGTTGGCGATATCTGATTGCTGCCCCCCCCGACTGGCTGCGCCCCTTAGTGCTGCCCCTGCCATCGGGGCCTAAGGGGCTAGCCACTTTGCTTCCCCTGAAGAAAGTGCAGACCAAAAACCCATCAGGTCCCGAGGTACTTTCCTCAGCACCAGAGGAAGATTTACTCCCACCACCTTACTGGGCCCCAGTGAGTGCTCAGGATAGACCTACAGAAGAAGAATCGATGGATAAGCTTTTGTTCCTCTGAGTGGCCCACGTTTAATGTCGGTTGGCCTCGGGATGGGACTTTTGATTCTGATGTTATTTTGCAGGTTAAAGCTAAGATCTTCTCTCCCTCCCTATCACCCCCCTCCGCAGGCTGCTGCGGCGGTTCCAGATGACGTCCAAGCAGAGGGACCGGAGGTTGCTCCCTCTCCCATTGCGGGTCGACTCAGAGAGAGGAGAGGACAGGGAGATTCCTCACACATCCTGCCCCTCCGACTCGCAGGAGGGGAAGGAAACCAGTTTCAGTATTGGCCCTTCTCCGCTTCAGACCTGTATAACTGGAAAACTCATAACCCGTCCTTCTCCCAAGACCCTGTGGCCCTAACTAACCTCCTGGATACCATTCTTTTTACCCACCAGCCCACTTGGGATGATTGCCAACAGTTATTAAATATCCTGTTCACCACCGAGGAACAGAACCGTATCCTTTGGGAATGCAGACATGCAGTCCCTGGAAA